GCTTGCCGTTGGAGTGGAGAGATGAGAGACTATGAAACGGAGAAAAACAGAAAGGGGAAGAGGAAGAAAAGAAAAGAAAAGAATGAATAAATAAAAATCGGAAAGGTTAAAGAACTGCAAAGTTCCCAGGGATGCCACTGGTGCAGCTATGAGGTCTGGGGAAGTCACTGTCAGGTGTTGCAGTACAGCCTGGCCAGAAGGCGTAGAGGTATACAATGCCAGGTATTTAGGGAACAGAAAGAGAAGGAAGATATAGAGAGATGAGAAACTGAGTAATGAAGAAAGACCAAAAGGGAAAAAGAGGGAAAAGAAAACAAAACAAATTAAAAAAAAAAAAAAAAAGAAGAAGAAGAAAAGCGCCCCCCCCGCAAAACAGAAAAAAAAACCAACGAAAAAAGAAATGCTCTCAGGGATCCCTCTGCACGTCTGTGCAAGCTGAGGGGGTAGTGGAGACATTTTTGAATGTCACACCTGGAGAGATGCTACTGGTATCTAGTGGGTAGAAGCCAGAGATGCTGCTACACATCGTATAATGCACAGGACAGCCCTGGCTACAAAAAATTATCCAGCCCAAAATGTCAACAGTGCAGAGATTGAAAAATTCTGATTTAGGCTATCTATTATGATTTTTTTTTTTTTGATTGTCACCCACTTCTAGTAATTCACATGGAAATAGGTAATAGAATGAGAACAAGTCTGGAATATGTGTCTAGTGATTTTTTAATCCTGGAGAGACTGTCTTGCTAGGCTGTATGCTCCACAAGGTCAGAGACTGTGTCGGCATTGCTCATTGCTCTTACCGAGGCCTCGCACAGTACCTGACACATAGTGTTTGTTCAAAACTGTTGCCTGGACTAAATTGATTATGTCAAAAGGATGATAAAATATGGAATGGACCAATCAGAAGCACTGTGGAAATGAATGTCTAGGTAGGTCTGCATATGTACCTGGCACATAGTAAGTGCTCAATAAATATCGAATGGGTAGATGGATGGTTGGAAGAATGAATGAAGACGAACTTCAATGCCTTGGGGGTACAGGCATTTTTTATCTTTTAGTGGTTAAAGGTTATGTTTTTGGAAAGGTGAGATATTGTAGAAAGTAAACAGCTAGGTGTGTATATGATGTTGAAGAATAAGACTTTCTATGACAGCATATGAAACCAAGTGAAACAGGTCGCATTCCCTCCTTCCTCTATCTTTAGCTTCTTTTTACTGCTCTTTCTCAGTAATTTATATATTTACTTCTCTTCTCTCCTCAAAAAAAGTCAACAATCCTCCATTCATCTTGAACCTTCTAGAGATCATATTTTCCTTCTCCTTGCCTTAACCAAACCAGGATTTTTGGAACCTGAAGCTGATACAATTTGAGGTATTCTCATGAAGGAAAAGAACAAAACTACAAATATGAATAAGAATAAAAATGACTTTAATTAGAATGGAAAAATAACTCTCAATGAATTAAAAGTTTTAACAAGATAAGTCCCCAAAGCCCAGGCCACTTGTCCTCACTGCTTTCACTCTGATCTGATTGGCAGCTCGTTCAGAACATAGGGTGTTCGCGGTCACTGGCAGCACTACGAGCCTGGACGTCCCCAAGCCTGGTAGCTACCAACGATTTGCCTGGATTTATTTAGCTGACAGCCAGAAGATTGTAGAAACAAATGTGAACCAACAGCCTACCTGGTTCCAGCCTGCACTTCAAGGCAGGATCCATCTTGAGAACAATGGCACGCTGAACATTTATAGAGTCCAGAAAAATGACAGCACCGAGTATCTCCTGCAGGCATTGGAAACAAGTGGGGTTGAGCAAGAATCACTTTTCCTACTGGAGGTGCATGGTGAGTGATGGGAGCCAAAGGGTAACCCTGGGGGCCTCAACTGACCACTGAGATGCTTCCTGCGGGTCCTAGGGACACTCTCTGGGAGGAAGAGAGTAAAACCTTAGGACAGACTCAATTCATTTCTCCTAGAACCTGTTCCATTTTGGAATGACCTGGGACAGCAGATCCCAAAATTGATAGACCTGGGAGGGCTAAAACTTCTTCTGAAGTCAGTGAGACTAAGGTTTGGAGACAAAACAATAGAGATGAGTTCCTCTCTATTCTCTCCCATCTATCAACGCAAATAAGTTCTGAGCTCATTTTTTTTTTTTTAACTAACAAATACTTATTGGGTAGTTATAGCAGATCATACACTATACTAGGAACTATAGAAGATACAAGGAAATTAAAAATATAATCTCTAATCACAAGAAGGAAAGGAGAAGCTCAGAAGTACAAAAAAGAGGAGCCCTTGATCCAGTTGTCCCATGGTCTGAGCTCATCTTACTTATATATCTGAACAAAGACATCATATGATTTGAGAAAAAAGAGAGAAGAGACAAATGACGGGTAGAAGGATGCAGAAGCTATGAAGGAGGTTTTTTTTTTTAACCTTTCAGAATGTAAATGTGCAATAAAGTCTTAGTCCTTCACTACTTCCACTCATAGCTCCTGCCTGATCAGTGTATATGGGATAAGGATAGGATGTTACACTTGGAGTCAGACAGACCTGGATTCAGAATTCAGGTCAGTCACTTAGTGGCTCTGTGACTGTGGACAAAGATCTTAACATCTCTGCTTATATTAGTTAAGGTTCTTATGATGGCAGGTAACAGAAACCAATTCAATATAACTTTAGCAAGAAAGGAGAATTTGTTTCAAGGAACTAGAGTTATTTAAAGTAATTCAAGGGGTTTGAAAGAGTCAGGAAGGGCTAAAGGGAAGAAACAATGGTAATCAAGACCAGTCCAGAGTCCTCAGCTTAAGGAATCCGTGAGCTGTACTTGTGAATTCCTGCTCTTTGCATAACTTATCTGCCCAAGCTTAGACTTTTGTATCTCTCAGTTTAAATTCTCAAAAGAGAAAAACTGATTGGCCCAGCTTGGTTCAGATATGTGTACTTTGAAGATATCTCAAACATTTATAGCCAAAAGGTCCAGGTTATATAAAGCAGAAACATGGTTCCTGGGACGGCCTCTCTGAGATTGCAGTGGACAATTATTAGAGAAAGGGGACTGGGCAGACATCTAACAGGGGTGTTCACCTCAGAGCCTAGGGTTTCTCATTATATAATGAGGAAAATTATATCTACATTTTAGGGTATTTTGAGGATCAAAGTACATAATGAAAGTGAAAACATTAAAAAAAATGCTAAAACATAGTACAAATGTATAGTACTGTCTATATTCAGATTCCACCAGCCAGATGATCCCTCTGTAAGAAGCCAGAGTCCATCTCTCACTCATTCCTCCATTATATATGGTTGAAAATTCAGAAGGTCCTGGGAGAAGTGCAGGGTTCTGGTAAATCAGCTCTATGGGGAGGGGGGAAGCGTTGTTCTGTAGCATTTACCAATTTCTGTGGTGTAAAGACTCCCACTTAGACTGATACCAAGCTACTAATGGTTTCACAACTAGCTTGCAAAATATCAGAATATTTAAAAGACACCAGGAAAAGAAAATTACAGGCTAATATCACTTATGAATATAGATGCAAAAATTCTCAACAAAATACTAGTGAACAGAATCCAACAATATATTAAAAGAGACGTAGACCACCACCAAGTGGGATTTATTCCAGGAATGCAAGGATGGTTAAACATTAGAAAATCGATCAACACAATATCCCACATCAATAGAACAAAGGAAAAGAAACACATGATCATTCTATAGATACAGAAAAAGGATTTGATAAAATCTAACACCATTTATTGATGAAAACCCTCAAGAAGATTAGAATAGAAGGGAGATTCCTCAATATAATTAGGGGCATATATGAAAAACCCACAGCTAACGTTATACTTAATGGAGAAAGATTGAGAGCTTTCCCCTTGAAATCAGGAACAAGACAAGGGTGTCTGCTCTCACCACTTCTATTCAATATTGTATTAGAAGTCTTAGCCAGAGAAATAAGACAAGAAAAAAAGAATAAAAGGTAATCAGATTGGAAAAGAAGTAAAATTATTTCTATTCACAGATGACATGATCCTATATGTAGAAAATCATGAAAAAATCCACAAGAAAGCTTCTAGAGCTAATGGGGGAATTTAGCACAGTTGCAGGGTACAAGGTCAACAAACAAAAATCAACTGGGTTTCTATACACCAGCAATGAGGAATCTGAAAGGGAAATTAGGGAAATAACTCCATTTACAATAGCATCTAAGAGAATAAAATACCTAGGAACAAATTTAACCAGGGATGTGAAAGACTTATACAATGAAAATTATAAAACACTTCTGAAAGAGAATAAAGAGAACTTAAAAAAATGGAAAGATGTCTCATGTTCAAGGACTGGGAGACTTAACATTGTTAAGATGTCAATGCAACCCAAACCGATATATAGAGACAACACAATCACGATAAAAATTCTGACAGACTTCCTTACAGAAATGGAAAAACAAATCATCAACTTTATATGGAATGGCAAGAGGCCCCAGATAGCTAAAGCAATGTTGAAGGAAAAAGAACGAAGTAGGAGGACTTGCATTTCCTGATTTTAAAACATATTATACCGCAACAATAATCAAAACAGTCTGGTACTGGTATAACAATAGACACATAGACCAATGGAATAGAATTGAGAATCCAGAAGTAAACCCACATATCTGTGGTCATTGATTTTTGACAAGGATGCTAAGCCCATTTGATGGCGAAAGTAGAGTCTCTTCTATAAATGGTATTGGGAAAATTGGATTTCCATCTGAAGAAAAATGAAAAGGATCCATGCCTCACACCATGCACAAAAACAAATTCAAAATGGATTAAAGACCTAAATGTGAAAACTAAAACCATACAATTCTTAGAAGAAAATGCAAGGACAAGGCTCCTGGGCCTAGTTTTAGCTAATATAATAACAAAAGCACACACAGTTAAAGACAAAAGAAATAAATGGGATCTCATAAAAATTACACTTTGGTTCATTGAAAGATTTTTACCAAAAAAGTGAAAACACAAGCTACTGACTGGGAGAATATCTTCAGAAACCATATGTCCAATAAGAATCTAACAATCAAAATGTATATAAACCTTTGACAATTTAACAACAAAAAGACAAATAACTCAATCAAAAAATGGGCAAAGGACTTGAGTAGGTATCTCACAAAAGAAGACATTCAAATAGCCACCAAACACATGAAAAAAATGCTCTTTATCATTAGCCATCCGAAACCAAAAAACCAAACCTGTTGTCAAGTCAATTCCAACTCACAGCAACCCTTTGGGACAGAGTAAAACTGCTCCGTAAGATTTCCAAGGAGCAGCTGGTGGATTTGAACTGCCAACCTTTTGGCTAGCAGCCAAGCTCTTAACCACTATGCCACCTGGGCTTCATCTAGGATAGCTAAAAGGAGCCCTGGTGGTGCAGTGATTAAGAGCTCGGCTACTAACTGAAAGGTCAGCGGTTGGAACCCACCAGGTGCTCTGCAGGAGAAATACATGGCAATCTGCTTCTTTAAATATTACTGCCTTGGAAACCCTATCGGGTAGTTCTACTCTGTCCTGTAGGGTCGCTATTAGTTGGAATCAACTCGACAGCAATGGGGAAGATGGCTAAGATAAAAAACAGAAAATAACTAATGTTGGCAAGGATGTGGGGAAACTGGAACCCTTATCCATTGCTGGTGGGAATGCAAAATGGTACATCCACTGTGGAAAACAGTATGGCAGCTCCTTAAAAAAAGTAAGAATAGAACTATCACATGACGCAGCAATTCCGCTGTTAGGAATATACCCAAGGGACTTGAAAGCAGCGACATTGCAGCACTATTCACAATAGCCAAAAGATGGAAACAACCTAAATGTCCATCAACAGATGAATGGATAGACCTACATACAATGGAATACTGCTCAGCCAATAGGAAAAATGAAGTCTTGATACATGCTACAACATGGATGGAGCTTGAAGACATTATGCTGAGTGAAATAAGTCAATCACAAAAGGACAAATATCATGTGGCCTCATTTATATAAAAAGACAAGAAAAGGCAAATGTATAGAGACCAAAGTTTATTAGTAATTACCAGGGGTGGGAGGGAAGGAGAAAGGAGGGAGGAGTTATTGCTTATGGAGCACCGCCTTTTTGTTTATGGTGATGAAAAAATCACATTGGCTAAGGGTAAGTGTTGCACAGCGGATTAGTGTAATTACTGTCAATGAGTTGTACACCTGTAAAAAGTTGAATTAGCAAAAGTTGTGTGACAGATATATTTACAACAACAACAAAGAGAGTAGCAGCTGAGGCTGCTTATGTACAACAAAACACCCCAGAGGATTTGGTTCTTTGGTTTGGAGGCTTAAGGGACAACCCAGTTAGTATCATGTTTAGTGCTTTTGTTCTACCTTCTAGTTCATCAAGTAGTGCCTGGGGTCTTAAAAGCTTGCAAGCAGCCAGCCAAGGTACAACAGTTTGTCTCCTAATTGATCTTCCAGCAACAGAGGAAGGAGAGTCAGGAATGGGAGGAGGAAATGGAATGCATGGCTAATTGCCTCCATGATCATCTGCCTCCTTTGCCATGAGACTAAAAGAACTGGATGGTGCCTGGCTACCATTAACTAATGTTTAGATCGAAGATTCTATAGAAGAATCCTGACCAAAAGGGGGAAAATGCAGCACTGAATTTCAAATATTCCTGGAATCCAGAATTTCTGGAACCATGGAGGCTGGATGAACCCCTGAAATATTGCCCTGAGATAATCTTTAAACCTTAAGCAAAAATATCCCATGAAGTTTTCTTTAAACCAAGAAATAATTTAGCTTAATCAGAAAAGAACGTTTGCCTTGAGCGTTGTGCTCTTTTAAAGAACTAGCAATATGGGATCAAACTGACAACAGCAACTGAAAAGATTAAATAGGAAACATACGGGGCAGTGAGTTTATATTAATAGGTGAGGAACAATTCAGAATGGGAGGGTGAGAATGGTTGCACAACTTGAAGAGTGTAATCAATGTCACGTAGAAACTATCGAATTGGTGTATGTTCTGCTGTATATATTCTCAACAACAATAACAAAAATAATTTTTAAAATTATTGGAATATAGGACTCTGGCAAGATGGCGGTGTAGGCAGAAGCACCACGCCGTCCCTCCACAGCAAAGATCCGAAAAACTAAGCCAAACAGAGAATCAACAATCCTGAAACC